TCTCTCTCTCTCTCTCTCTCTCTCTCTCTCGAGCACATAATAGGCTGTTTGCAGTACAATGTATATTATACAAACCCAGGAATCCGAAAATATTTCTAAGCATTTTTGAGTCTGCTGGAGTACTAATAATCCTAAAGCGCGTACTACATTACATGTTTCTAATATTATAGGGTCTGCTTGAGTAATAATAGTTGAAAAGCGCATAGAACTTGCTAACCGACCGACCATCAATGACATATTTATAGAGGCACCAGCCATCTATGTCCAGGTGCTGTCTTAGCCTAATAGAGCTCGCTATAGAACATAAACATACGCTCTATAAATACAAGTATTATTAATATAATCATTGTCAACAGCTCGGGCAGACACTCCTATAGCAAACATATTATCTATAATGATGTCTCTTTATTTTTGTTTTAGTAAGAGTTTTACGGCACTTGCAACACAATAAGGGCATATAAGGGCCGAAGATTAAAGGTGTTACAAGAGAGTAACAAACACAACAAAGAAGGACGGGAGATAAAGACCATAGATGTTTGATAGGAAAGAAGTAGCAAACCATACCAAAGCACCCGCCAACCACCCATTCTCTTTGTCTTGATCGTCCAGAACTTTGGAATCTTGATAAAAAAATATCTTGAGCGCTTTCTTCCATAGAACGTACGGGCACCACAGTATTAAAACACTTTGTATTCACACTCTTTCTTTCCTACCACTGCTCTGACGCTGAAATGCTTCTGATCTATAACAAAGAAAGATACAGAAGATCATCTTACCATCATCATTTTCATACTTCTTCCATCTTAATCATCTTGTTATAAGTATTCAATGACCTTAGAGCATGCATCAGAATACCATTGAGTTACAATCAGAATACTGACTAAGTTATAGCTTAACATTATTATTGTTTATATTACTGTTCATTTATATTATGCTTGCGACTGTGAGCCTGTTTATGAGTACAAGCATACTGCGTGTGTGTGTGCATGTTTGTGTGTGTGTGTGTGTGTGTGTGTGTGTGTGTGTGTGGTTGTGTATGGGTGTGTGGTTGTTTGTGTGCGTGTGCGTGTATGTGCGTACGTGGTAAAATACCAAATCAATGTGCCAGGATCTGGACAATAAAGATGTATCTTATCTGCCCTTTGAGCTCTTTATTTTGAGCGGTTTGAAATGGCAATACAGGCATTAAAAGTTAATAAGTGATTTTTCTTGCAGCTTAAAAAAAAAATCAGTATAAAGTTTCGTGTATCGATTTTGTGCCCTTTCTATTCCCGCCTCGGCACCACAACACACATGTGAGGCAGCATGGTGGAATCAGGCTCTCGTCAAAATAATGAAATCGAAGAAAACAGCAGTTTTCTCCCCGCTTAGCAATTTTTATCAAATTTTTGTTTTTTGACTCAACACCTTTTATGTCCATTTACAAACAAACTCTTTTGAGGATTTCACCTAAAACGTTGATTAAACGCACAAAAAATATAAAATTACAGTTTCCATGGACTCTCCAGCTTTGGAATTTACCAAGCTGTGGCGGCCATTTTCTCACTAGTTTTACCTCTTAAACCAGGTTACCCCCACCTCCTTCAATCGAAAATATCTCCACTTCTATTGAAGATGGATGGGTAATTTCTTTATTGAAAGCAAGACAATTGAACAAGCTTTTAAATTATACAAATAACTCAATATGCCCCAAAATTGACGAAAGCCTGATTCCACCACGCTGCCTCACATATATTCTTAGATTGTGTCATGCCCCTTTTCTTTTTATGTCAGCGCTCTCATGTTGTAACACATGCACACATGTGCCATGTTCATAATTGTTTCTCCTTTCAGCGCTTCGAAATGTTCTGCGAATTCTTGAAATTCTGCGAATCCGATGCTGATAAAACGAAAGCTATGCACCTACATGGAATGAAATTTCTCCTGCGCGTAAGTTCATGGCATAAGTTAGTACAAAAGAAGATTGCCGAAAATTCCAGTTGTAAATGTTCACTTGTTATATGCCTAGTTTGATACTATTGCACTGAGCTGAGATTTAGAGCCCTCTAACTCTGCTTCGTACTTCAGAAATGCACAGTAGGTTAAACGAACAAAGATGCTCTGATTTTGGTCATCCATCAGTTCAGTGATGACAATCCTCATGTGACCTGTGTCTGTGGGGTTGCATCTAGGCTTTCATCATCATCATCATCATCATCATCATTTTTTGGTAAGCAGGGTAGGAGGGAGAGTCTTGTTTTAATTTTAGACAAAAATAAAATA